GAGTAAGGTAGAGGTCGAGATTTTTGTTTTCTTTTATTCTCATACAGATATCTAGTTGTTTCGGGACAATTTATTGAAAAGATTATTCTTTTCCTCTTTTACTGCTTGTGGATCTACCTCTGAATGTATTCGTTTCCATTTGTATATTGTCATGCCTATATCATAATGACGTGACAATGATACCATATAAGTATTGAAACTAGGTAACGTAAGTTGTCTGATTTTGTTTTTTCATTTTAAAATTATCTTTTCTATTTTATCTCTTCCATGTTTATTTAAATCTTACATTTAGCTTATTAAAAAAAGAATAAATAAATAAGAAAAAACCTAAAGGGATTTTGTTGAGTATTGCTTTGAATTTGTAGATCAGTTTGTAGAGGATTGACAACTTAAACAATGTTGAGTTTTCCAGTCATGACCATAACACAAGTAAATCTTATAGATCACCTTTAATTTCTTTCAGCAGTGTTTTAAAAAGTTTCACTGTATGGAGTTTACCCATATCTTGTTAAATTTATTTCTAAATATTTCATTATTTTGATGTACCTATTGACTTCATTATAGGATTTCTTTTTTTCATAGAAGCTTTCTATTTTATTCTGTAAAGTGGTAGATTATAATGATTGAATTTTTGTGGCATAAAATTGATTTTTACATTTCTGGAGTAAATCCTACTTTGTCATTGTGTCTTTATTATAAATTGCTGGGCTACCATTTTTCTAGAAGTTTCAGAATGATTCTTAGTCTCACTTACCTCAGTAACAACCACTGTTGTGATTTTTCTTTTTGGCCATGGGTTAGTTTCACCTGTTCTAGAAATTCATATAATTTTGGAATGAAATGTAAGGTCCCTTTTTTCGTCGGACTTCTTTCACTTAGCATGTTTTTCAAATACATCCATGTTACTTGTATGAATAGTTTATTCCCTTTTTTTGCTCAGTAGTTTTCTCATGTATGAAAATACCACAATTTATATTCCTATTGATGAACACTTAGACATTTTCCTGTTTGGGGGCTATCATGAATAAAACTGCTGTGACATTCTCATTTGGTCTTTTTATATTCATATTATGTTACTTTTTCTTGAGTAAATTCTAGGAATTAATATTGCTAGATTACGGAAGATACATGTTTACTTTCTAAAAAACTGCCAGGCCTTTTATAGTGAGAGTCTTGGTTGTTCTGCATCATTGCCAACATTTTGTATTGTCAATTAAATTTCTCCATTCTGGTATGTATGTAGTGGTCTCATTGTGATTTTAGTTTGTGTTTCTCTGATGAGTAATGAGCACTTTTTTCATGTGCTTATTGGCCATTGCATACTTCTTTTGTAAAGTATCTGTTCACATCTTTTTACTTGCTATTTGTCATCCCAAGATCCCGAGGGGAGAATGTAGAAGGGATTGAAGTGTGATCATCCCTGTTGACGGGTGATTTCCCGCTTTCTGTCTCCCTGTTTCTGTCTCTCTGGCAAGTGCACGCATCCTATAGCAAAAATATCTCTCTTTAAAAAAAAGAAAGAAAGAAAGTTGTCTTGGGCCAGCAGGGGTGTGGTGGTTAAGATGTTGGATCTCATGTGGCCAACCATGGTTTGAGTCCTGGACCTGGAAGCTCGAAAATCATATTGGGCTCATGTTTATTTGTGCCCAACTCATGAGACAAGAATGGAGCAGAAGGAATTGCCATGTGACCCTCCCCACTGGAGAGTGTTGTCTCACTTTCTCTCACTCGCTTGCTTTCTTGGGAGCATATGTTCTCAAAGAAAAAGAAAAATTAGTTGTCTTTTTATTATTTGTGGCTCTTATTAGAGTTCCATCATTCTTTATCTGTAATGCTTAGATTGAGAAGTATTTCAAATTTCAGATTTTTTTCAGGTTTTAGAATATTTGCATATATATAATTAAATACCTCAGCGAGAGGATCCAAGTCTAAATAGCAAATTCATTTATGTTTCATATATACCTTGTACACATTGTCTGAAGGTAATTTTCTACAGTATTTTGTGTTGCAGTGTTTGTACCGAACCATGACTTGAGGTTAGGTGTGGAATTTCTTGCGAGGTTGTGTTGTCATTAAAGTTTCAGATTTTGGAGCCTTCCGATTTCAGATTTTCAAGTTAGGAAGGGATGCTCAGTCTGTATTGTGTTCAAAGAGTTCTTTTTATCTTCTGGATAAAAGACTTTGTTGGATATATGTTTGCAAATGTTTTCTCACTTTTCTTACTGATGTCTACTGATGAGTAGATGTTTTTAATTTTGGTTAAATTTAATTGTCAGATATTTTAAAAAATGATTATTTAGTTTTATTTATTATTTTTTTAATTTGACCAGTGAGAGAGAGACAGAGAGAGAGAAAGCAAGAAAGTAAGCCACCAGGTCTAGAACCGTGATCACCCACATGAGAGTTCATCCATGGACTCTTCACCACCATGCCACCTGCCAGCCCCTAATTGTCATTTCTTAATCTGTTATTGCTTTGTCCTGTCTAAGAAGCCTTTGCCTATAACCAAGTTATGAAGATAGTCTTCTATTTTCTAGTTTACTTCGTTTTTACATTTAAGTATTTGATTCATCTCAAATTAATTTGGGGGTATAGAACAAATAGTTCATTTTTTGTGGTTCATTTTTTCTGTAAGAATTTCCAGTTGTACTAATACCATTTGAAAACACCTTTCCTACTGAATTGCTTTAGCAATTCAATTAAAAATCAAATCACTGTATACGGGACCAGCAGTTGGCGCAATGGCTATGTTGCTAGACTCCCATATAGTCGACCGTAGTTCGAGTCCTGGACCTGGTGGCTTAAACTCAAGCTGGGCATGTATGCGTGCATACGTGTGTGCCTTAGATCCCAAGAGGAGAATGGAAGAGAAGGGATTGCAGTGTGGCCATCTCCCCTGGGGGGTGATTTCTCACTTTCTGTCTCTGTTTCTCTCTGGCTTTCTAGTGAGTGCACACACCCTATTGCAAAAACCTCTCCCCCCCAAAAAAGATTACTATATACATGAGGTTGTATTTGAGGGTTCTTTGTTCTGTTCCATTGTTCTGTCAGTCATTAAGCCAACATCCCATTGCCTTGATTAGTGTAATTTGTTTTATCTTCTCACTTTGTGCATGTGTGTATTTGTAGTTTTATATAAATTTTAGAATCAAGTTGTCAATTACTACAATTAAAGAACTAGTGGGATTAATTCCGTTTTTAAAATAGATACAGATTTGTGTGTGTATATATATATATATATATGTATATATATATACACACACGCACATATATATAATATGTATATATGTATATATGTATGTATATATACATACATTTCTCTCGTAGTTTATTTTTTAAAAGATATTTGCCCATTCCATGTAGATTGTCAAGCTTATTTACATGATATTAAGTCATTATTTTTTTAATGCTATGATGTCTTGTATTTAGTTATCTGTTTCTTTATAACAAATTATCACTAAACAGTGGTTTAAAACAACCAACATTTATTATCTATAATTCCTTTGGGTCAGGAATCTTAGTTGGGTGCCCCTGACTCAAGGTCTCCCTCAGTGCTACAATCATATTTAAGGAAGGCTATTCTCATGTCAAGCCTGACTTGGAGAGGATCCTCTTCCAGTCTGTCATATGGATATAGAATTCTGGATTGATATTTTTATCCACTTTCATCATATTAAAGATGTCCTATTGTTTTTTGGCCTCTATTGTTTTTAATCATAAGGTAGCTATTTTTATATTGTGTTGTGTTTCTTTGATGATGTTCAAGTTTTTTTCTTTTTTTTTTAAGAAGTTTTTGCCTTAGGGTGCCTGCACTCACTAGAGAGAGAGACAGAGAAAGTGAGAGGGAAAGTGAGAAATCACCCCACGGTGGGATGGCCAATCCTATGATCCCTTCCCCTCTGTCCTCCTCCCAGGATCTTGGGCACACATGCACACATGCCTGTCATGAGTTTCGAGCCACCGGGTCTGGGACTGCGGTAGGCCATCTGGGAGTCCAGAAGTGTAACCACTACACTGTCTACAGGCCACCAAGATTTTCTTTTTATCTTTGGTTTTTAGCTGTTCGTTTGTGATATGCCAAAATTGTGTGTGTGTTTTATATTTATCTTCTGTGGAGTTTGCTAACATTCTTGAATCTAAATTCACGTTTTCCACCAAATTCGGGAAATTTTTGGCCATTGTGTCATTAAGTATTTTTTTCTGGCATATCTTTTGCCTCTGCTTGATCTGCAGTTACACATATGGTAAACCTTTTAATATAATACCATATTTCATCATGGCAGATTTATATTATATTTAGTCTCTTCTCTCTGTTCTTCATATTAAAAAATTCTGATTTATCTGTTTTTTAGAGAGATCTTTGCTATAGCGCATGTGTGCTCACTGGAGAGACAAAGAGAGGCAGAAACAAAGAAAGAAATCACCCCCTCGGGGTATAGCGATGCAACATCCCCTTCCCCTCTCAGGATCTTGGGCATTCTCACACATGCACTCAGCAAGTCCAGGACTTGAACTGCAGTGGACTATGTGGGAATCCAGTGATGTAACTATTACGCCATCTGCTAGCCCCAGATTTATCTTTAAGTTCACTAACTCTTCAATTTGCTAAGTCCATTAAGTGAATTTTGTTTTTTAAATATTGTATTAAAAATTCTTAAATTGTCATTTTGTTCTTTTCCTCCACTGAGTTTACCTATTTAATTCATTCTCAGCCCATTTGTTTGATGTTATCTGAGACATAGTTATAATAGCTATTTTAATATCTTTGCTAAGTTCAACATCTCAGTAATCCCAGTGTTAGTCTCCCTTGATTACTTTTTCTTGTGGGTAGTTATGATTAGAACACAACTGACAGCGAGTATCCAGCATGACATTGAAAACTATAATTACATAACATCATTATGAAATTTTGTTGTACACTCTGTCATTCCCTTGTTACTACCAACAATAAAGGATTTTCAAAATTCACTTTTTAATGTGGTATTTGCTTTCTTTTCCAGGACATCTTCTCTACATTCAGTTTCATCCAAGTCATTCCGTAATTTCTTACTGGAAGAAAAAAAATCTGTTACCAGCCATACTTCAGGAGATCATGTCAAAAAAACCTGCTCTAAAGGAATCGAAAATTCCCAAGTTCCAAAAGCTGTAAGGTAATATTATAAATTTAAAACAAATATATTGTTTATTGTTCTATCTTAAAATACTCTAATGGTTTTATGTTCTGAAATCTTTAAAAACTTATGAAGCAGATTTTTATCATTCTTTTGCATTTAAATTAAAATTAACATATGTTCCCTCCCCCTTCTTTTTTGAAGCACTTATTGGGATAAAATTGGCTTACAATAAACCGTGTATTTAAATGATATAATTTGAACTTTTGATATATGTATATATCTGTGAAACCATCACAGCATTCAAGATGGTGAACATAATCATCTTTCTCAGAAGTTTCCTTATGCTCCTTCGTAATCTCTTCTTCCTTTCTGTGCTTATCTCACTCCCCAGGCATCTACTAATCTGCTTCTAGCAATATATACTAGCTTGTATATTTTAGAATTTTCGATGGGAGGAATCATATAGCATATGCTGTTTTTCAATTTGTCTTTCATTCAGCATTATTATTTTGAGGTTCATAAATATTCTGTGTATCAACAGTTGATTCCACTTTATTATTTGGTAATATTTCGTTGTGTGGATTTTTTTTTTAGGAGAGATTTTTGCTATAGGGTGCTTGTGCTCGTCAGAGAGACAAGAGACAGAGAGATGGAAAACTAGAAATCACCTACCGGGATGGCTATGCTGCAGTCCCTTCTCCCTCCATTCTCCCCTGGGATTTTGGGCATGCTTGCACGCATATCCAGTATGAGTTTTAAGCCACTGGGGTCCAGAACTTGAACCATGGTCAACTATGTGGGAGTCCAGAGACATAATCATTATGCCATCTGTTGGTCCTTGTTGTATGGATATATACCACAATATATTTATCTGTTCATTTGTTGGAGGACTTCGGGGTGTTTTCAGTTTTTCTCAAACTATTCCCCTTATGGGGGGAAGGCCACCCACAATTCCTTCTCCTCTATTTTCTTCTCAGGTTTGGGCACACATACATGCACTTGGCGTGTGTTTTAAGCCGCAGGGTTTGGAACTTAAACTGCAGTGGACTATGTGGAAGTCCAGTGACATAACCGTTACACTGTCTGCTGGTCCCAACATTATGTCTATTTTTAGTGTATTGAACAGTAATATAATTTGTCTAATTGAAACAGGAGAAGGGAATGGGAACTAAACTAATTTAATCATGCCTTACCACCTTCAAGCAGCTCTTGAGGAACTATAAAAGTCTTGTAACAACAATGTTTGGAAACTACTGGTTTAGATGAAATGTTTTGACAAATTTTTATTGTTGAAATTGTGACTAGCTTCCTTATTACAGATATGTACATTTAGAGGCTGATTTTTTTCAGCCATTTTCTTACAACATAAAATCAGAGATCAGAAAGAATCTGAAAAAAAAATTGTAGGGTCTCTTTCCCAAATTTTCCAAACATTTTTAGCAATAGAATGCTATTCTAAAATAGAAATCGTAAATGGAATTCTAACATATAAAATAAATTAAGCCTTTTTACATATAAATTTGTAAGTTAAAATTATAATGTTTATGTTGGTTCATAAATATAAAAATGGGTATAATGTAAGATTTATAATTATAAAATTAGCAAGCAAGTATTTATTGAATATTTGCTTTGTATCAAACATTATGTTAAGTATTAGAGTTATAGTGGTGAGCAAAATTAATAAAGTCCATGCCCATATAGAACTTACAGTCCAAAAGGGAAGAAAACCCTTAAATAAATAAAGTATATAAATCTTATCTAACATAAATCCTGAGAGCTGACTCTGTGGTCTAGTGGTTAAGGGAACCAGATCTCACAAGGCCATCTGTGTAGTTTGAATCCTGGTCCTAGCAGCTTGAAAAATACATTGGAATTTGTGTGTATACCCCAAATCCCAACAGGCTGGAAAAATGGAGGAGTAGGAGTTGCAACATGACCACACCCCATTGAAGCATGCTATCTCCCTCTCCTTCTATTGGTCTGTTTATCCTTCTCTGGCAAGCATGTACACTTTTTGGCAATTTTTTTAAAAAAAGATTTTGATTGAGTTAAATAAGTACTTTAAATCATCTTCTTTTAATTTCAAAAGGGCATGTATAGTGACAACACCTCTCCGCCCCCACAAAGGGCGTGGTCATACTACAAATCCCTTTTCCTCTATTTCTTAATCCAGTCAATATTTAGGGCATGCCCACGCAAGTACCTGGGGTATATTTTCAAGCCGTTGGGCAGGGACTGGGACTCAAACAAAGGCTGGCAGTATGGGATCCAGCTTCTTATACAGTGTTTAACTGGTGTGCTTTACGACAGGTTCTAAAATGATATTTTTAAAAAATCAACTTCTCTTGGTAGTTCTGTTAAAGCACTTTTACTTAAACTGAGATCATAGCCGGTTTTATTCTAGAATTTATATTAAATGATTAACCTGGCAACAAAAATAGATGAGCTGATAATTTTCAATGTATGGAAGAATTCGAATGCATATTTTTTATTAGTTTCAAAAATTTATATTTCAGGGACCAGCAGTTAGCGTAATGGCTATGTCGCTGGACTCCTACATAGTCAACCGCAGTTCGCGTCTCGGACCCGGTGGCTTAAAACTCACACCGGGCGCATGTATGTGTGTGCCCAAGATCCCGAGAGGAGAATGGAGGAGAAGGGATTGCGGCGTGGCCATCCCCCATGGGGGGTAATTTCTCGCTTTCTGCCTCTCTGTCTGTATCTGTCTGTCTGGCGAGCGCATATGCCCTATAGCAAAAACCTCTCAAAAAGACAAAATTTATTATTTCAAAAAATATATATATGCCAACAAATATTTATTGAACATGTTACATCTTTGCCAGAAGACACATGCAAGTGAGAAAGAGAAAGAGCATGCACAAGAGACAAGACAATCCCCCAGTGGGGCATGATCACACCATGATCCATTTTTCTCCATTTCTTCATCCCATCAAAATTCTGGGCACATGTGCACACACTCCTAGTGTGCACAGGTCCCCCTGGCCAAGATCCAAATCAAGGTTGGCTATGTGATATGACTCCCTATACACAGTGTTTAACTGCTGCAAACCAGGGCTGGCCCCTGAATATTTTATGATAAGCTGAAAACTAGATAACTTAAACTACTTAATATTTTGTAAGTTATTTAATTGAAGAAAAGGTTTTTAATTCATTCCAAAGTGACAGGTAAATTGCGTAGTGTTGTGAAACTCTCACAGTAAATGTTAAGTAATGTTATGTTAAGTAATGTTTATGTCCAACTACATTTGAGTGTCATTTGTATACATATTCACACTCATATCTATTGTATATTTATTTCATAAAAATATACGTAATACAATGAACCAAAAATAAATGTTTTATAATAGTCATTATGTATTATCTCTAATAGGTTTTCTTCAGACAATATTTTTCTCATTTTTTAAAATTAAAAAATATGGGACCAGTAGATGGCATAGTGGCCCAGATGCCAGGCTCCCACATGGCCGACCACAGTTCTAGTCCTGGCCCTGGTGGCTTGAAAATCATGCGAGGTGCATATGCTTGCATACCCAAAATCCCAAGAGGAGAATGGAGAAGGGATTGTAGTGTGGCCATCCCCCTGGGGGGTGATTTTTTACTTTCCCTCTTAATGCCTTTCTGTCTCTCTCCAGGAAGCACACATACCCTATGGGAGAAAAAAAAACCTGAAAAACAATTTTTAAAAATTTGGTATTTGTTGGGACCAGCAGTTGGCATAATGGCTATGTTGCTGACTCCCCATGTAATCGACTGCAGTTCGAGTCCTGGACCTGGTGGCTTAAACTCATGCTGGGCGTGTGTGCATGCATGCCCAAGATCTTGAGAAGAGAATGGAGGAGAAGGGATTGTGGCATGGCCATCCCCCCCGGGGAGTGATTTCTTGCTTTCTGTCTCTTTCTGGCAAGTGTACACGCCCGATAGCAAAAACCTCTCCAAATAAATAAATAAATAAAATAAAAAACTGGTATTTGTTATTCTCTGTAATGACCTCAGTTCTCATTTTTCACATTTATATTATTATTATTATTATTTTCTTTTTTTGGAGAGGTTTTTACAATAGGGCGCATGCGCTCACCAGAAAGACAGAGCGAGACAGAGAGACAGAAAGTGAGAAATTACCCCCTAGGGGGGATGGCTACGCTACAATCCCTTCTCTTCCATTCTCCTCTTGGGGTCTTGGGCACGCACACACACACGCCCAGTGTGAGTTTAAGCCACCAGGTCCAGGTCTCGAACCGCGGTCAACTACATGGGAGTTCAGCCACATAGCCATTACTCTAAGTGCTGGTCCCACATTTACATTATTTTTTTAATCTGAATGTGCTGCAGTCCTTTTGAAATAAGAAAAACCTAAGATTACTATTGTTTCTATAAGTATCAATAGTTTGACAAATGATGTTCTGTAGACAGTTTTTAGATAAAAAACATGTATTTATTTATTTTTCTATCTGAGATACACAAATCTGCCTGTATTTGTATTTATCTTATCTTCCTTTGGTTTTGCAAATAGAAAAGTTACTCTTTCTATCTAGGACCAATGTCTATACTTCTGCTTTTATCTTATTACTTCCCACTTAAGAAGTCTTACATTATTAATTATTCCTTTTCTTTCTTTCTTTCTTTTTTTTAACTTTATTTCTTTGCTTATTTTAGAGGAACAGAGTGTGAGAGAGAGAGAAAGTGAGAAAGCGAGAAAGCAAGCTGCTGGGTCCGGGACTTGAATCACAATCAACCATATGGGAATCTAGCACCCTTAACCACCGTGCCACCTGCCAGCCCCCCACCCCTTCCTTTCTTTCTTATATAAATTAAGCCTTTTCCTTTTAACTAAATTCTTCCCATCTGGTTTTGAATGTGCTCAGGATTTTCCTGTGGCCTGGGAGGATAATCAGTCCCTTATTCAGCCCTCATACTTTGTTTTAGCAATTGCTCTATCATTATAATCCTCTACCCCTTCACAGCCATATTCCTCCACATAATCTGTTGGCTCCCTCTCACTTATTAATTCATTCTGG